GCCTGAAAAGTGACTATAGAAATACGACTGGTCAGGATTGGAAGCCCGCGAATTCGGAGGCAGCGTCGAAAAAGGAAAAGCAAAATTCTCCCAAGCCCGGAAAGACGTCGGAGAAAGAAGTTGCGAAACACGCGGATAGTCAGGATGCAGATACAAGCAAAACTGGGACGAGATTAGGACTGGAGGCGAAGAAGGAAGAGAACTTCTTTGATTGGTATTCGCAAGTTATCACGAAGAGCGGAATGATTGAATATTATGACGTGTCAGGATGCTACATTCTTCGTCCGTGGAGTTTCTTGATCTGGGAGATGATAAAGGAGTACATCGATAAAAAGATTAAGGCGCTCGGTGTTGAACCATGCTATTTTCCGATGTTCGTTACTCGTGGCGCATTAGAAAAGGAGAAGGCGCATATAACGGACTTTGCGCCGGAAGTCGCGTGGGTAACAAAATGCGGCGAAGACGATATGGCGGAGCCCGTAGCTATACGGCCCACCTCGGAGACTGTTATGTACCCGGCTTATGCCAAATGGCTGAGGTCTGACACCGAGTTACCTCTTAAGCTCAATCAATGGAACAACGTTGTGGTAAGTATTATCAGTCTTTTTTCTTTACTCTACTTTAATACCGCTCCGTTTCAATTATCTTATTTTTGTTTGCAGAGATGGGAATTTAAAGATCCCAAACCGTTTCTCCGCACCAGAGAATTTTTATGGCAGGAGGGTCATACCGCGTTTGCTACGAAGATGGAAGCGGAGAAGGAAGTGTTGATCATTTTAGATATGTACGCTAGAGTTTATGAGGAGTTGTTAGCGGTGCCCGTCATCAAAGGTTGTAAGACTGAAAAGGAGAAGTTCGCGGGTGGCGATTATACCACTACTGTCGAGGCGTTTATTTCAACTAACGGTCGCGCGATACAGGGAGCGACGAGCCATCATCTAGGACAAAACTTTTCGAAAATGTTTAATGTCCAGGTAGAAGGTATCGCGGATGGAGAAAAAACGTTTGTCTATCAAAATTCATGGGGTTTAACTACACGAACTATTGGAGTCATGATAATGGTTAGTACAATTATTATCATTATATATAGATGACACATGGCATGCTGCATAAGCTATGTATTTTATAATAAATACTTATTTATTTAGGTACACGGTGATGATCGAGGTTTGGTATTACCTCCAAATGTAGCACCAATACAAGTTATTGTGATTCCCTGCGGTATAGTCGCAAGCATGTCTGAGTCAAAGAAAAAGGAACTTCGAAATGAATGCGCCTCTCTGGTCAAGCAATTGAAAATAAATAAATTTAGAGTGCGGGATGATTTTAGACCTAATCGAACACCTGGATGGAAGTTCAACCACTGGGAGCTGAAAGGCGTACCAATCAGAATTGAATTCGGTCCAAGAGACATGGAAAGAAATGAAGTAACACTAGTACGAAGAGATAACTTTGAGCGAGAAGTTGTCAAAAGGGATGAGTTAATTTTATCGGTAACTTGTATGCTGAAAAAGGTGCAAGACAGCTTGTTACAGAGGTAAATGTTACTCAAAAATTTTTAAACCAATAACATTCATGAGATAACATATGGTTGACGTCACTCAATTTCATCTATTTGTTTATAGAGCGAAGCACAAGTTAGACGAGCATATTAAACAGGTAGAAAACTGGGACGAATTCAAACTCGAGCTCGATGAAAAGAATTTATTATTGTCACCTTTCTGCGGAGAACCGGAGTGTGAAGATAACATTAAGCAACAAAGCGCACGGTAAAATTTCCTTCTGTATATGAAAAATATTTTTATGCACTTTATATTGCTTATCATAAACTTCAGAAAAATGCATTTATGAATGACTAAAATATCAAATTAAAACAAATTTTTTTTTTTTTTTAAGTAGATTACATTCTGTACATTTTGAGTTGATGTTAGTCGGAATGCTTTTTAAATATCTATGTATTGAAAGAGATTGTAAACAGTTTTTCCGCGGTTTTAATGGTTGAAACAGATGATTAAGAAATAACTAACAAATCTTGCTTTAAATTTTTATTTAATTTGTCACCTAGTGACATCCTCTATTTATAGTTTTTATTCGAAATAAATAGAAAAAATTTAATTAATCACTACAAAAGATATTGTAGAGTTGTGACGATATATAATATTAAAATCTTTGAAGCACTTTTCTTTAAAGTTATATTTTTCGACTTCTACCTTTTTCTAAGAAAGTATGAATTGATTTTTTCAAATTATAATAAAAGTTGAAATAAAATATAGCCAATCATATGAGAAAAGGGATGATTAAAATGTTCTAACTCAGTAATGAAAGAAAGAAACGTAAAAATAAGTAATTTGTTTAATAATTTTTCATCTTGCACTTTTTAATTATTTTTTATTGAATCACTATGTTACATATTATTTATTAATAGTATTTACATATTACAATTTGTTTTTTTACATTAATAATTTGAAAATCTAAATGTAAATTAAATTTGTTAAAAATATATTTAAACTTTCTTTAATTTAGTCACTTAGTGACTAAATTAAAGCAGCTTTCTTTTTTTACTCAATATGACTAATTACAGATTGAACACGATGGACGGAACAGTAACTATGGGCGCCAAGAGTCTGTGTATACCATTTAAGCAGCCAAAATTGACGAAACCTATCGAAAGTATCGATGAGTTGAAGCGTATTTTCGAAAGTAACAATGAGTTGAAATGTATTTACCAAGATTGCGAGAACAAAGCGAAGTTTTATACACTTTTTGGACGTAGTTACTAACGCATCCATAAAAGGTTCATATACATATAATGTTTAATAAATTTTACTGAAATTTTTGCATGTAAGTAATATGGAGTTTGTCATTTATTTTTATTTAATTTTTATTTATTCCTTTTGATTTCTCTCTCTCTCTCTCTCTCTCTCGACGAAATTAGCATTATTATGTTTCTGAGGAGAGACGAGGGTACTCAGGGGACGGAGTCGCCGACGAGCATAGTCCAAAAATTGACTCGTAGCCTCAGGATTCCGTGGCGAGAAGCGGTCCGAGATCCGCACGCAAGATCGATCTCGCGCGTTGATTGTTTCTCACTTTTCCAAGTATAATGGCTGCGCTCGAATGAGACGCGGATCCTTACCTTCCTCCCGTCGCACACCAGGCACAAGCTGGTTCCGGGCTTGTCCAAAATTCTAGTGCTCGCAGCCGCTTCAAATGACCGAACGTATCCGCATTGTCACCGGAAGCGTCGACGTAGCAGCGAAACACCATTCCGTCGTGGTACTCGGTGATGCTTCGCGTACCGCTGAGATCGCGTCAACGAAACCTGCCACTGCCGGCCGAGGAATAGCGCGCGTGAACGCGAAGGGAGCAAGATAGAGAAATTTCCCGGGTGAATCCTGCAAACGTCTCTTTACGCACGTGTCGTGGCGAGAAGACGATCGAGGACTCGACTGACTGCCCGTCCTCAGGAGGGGAAGGGTCAGTGATGAGGAATCGATGAAGGATTAATTGGCATGGCCACGCGACTCAGCCCCCGAAATTCGGAGGTGAACGCTCTTGAGCAGCGGGGCTATCTCATAGGCAAGAAGATCGGACAGGTTGTTCGTTATTCCCTCTTGTCTTTCGTTTCTCTTACGCGTTTTAATATTTTCCCGCTTCTTCGTCCGTTCTCGCGATAGCACTTTCTTCAATTTGTACAATGGCTTTTGGCTACTATTTAATCAGCCTCTTGACTGTTTCCTAAATTATATTTATTACATAAAGGTGATCTTTATCTCTTTCCATACTCATTCTCTTCACTTTTTGAAGAATCATCTTGTAATTGTTTGATGGTGTTGGTCGACCGCGCCAGAACCATGACTACAAATTTTGCGTTTTATAATACACGGAATTATCGTTTTCAGGGTTCTTACGCGACCGTCCATCTAGCAGAGTATATCGATGGAGCGAGTTCTAAGAAGATGCGTCTGGCCTGTAAGATTTTCGATAAGGAGAAAGCGCCAAACGACTTCTTGGACAAGTTCTTTCCCCGCGAGCTTGAAATCCTAACGAAGATAGAAAATCCGCATATCATTCAAGTAAGAGTAACCAGGAAAATGCTCATCTCTTCGTCTTTGATAAGGGATGAATGATTGGAGACTCATACTGTTTCTCTTTTCTTTCAAAACTGGCCGAGACCATGGCTATTGAAAGTAACTTCGAGTTCTCTACTCGAAAAGGGATATATTGGAACTTTATTATCATAATAAAGTTATGTGGGTGATAAGGGATTATTGCGATTAATGTAATGACGATTAGTAATTGTAATCTAATGTAATTTGATCGCATTTCGTCCAATTCTGACGTTAACGCGTCAGCAATCCTAATTTCGTCGAGCGCAGGTGCACAGCATCCTGCAGCGCGGCCCGCGCGTCTTCATCTTCATGCGCTACGCCGACAATGGCGATCTCCTGGACTTCGTGCAGACCAACGGCATGGTGCCGGAACAACAGTCGCGATTGTGGTTTCGTCAGATGGCGTCCGGCTTGCACTACCTGCATAGCAAGAACATCGCCCACCGGGATCTCAAGTGCGAGAACATACTACTCTCGCGGAAGTTCAATGTGAAACTGGCGGACTTCGGTTTTGCCAGGTTCTGCATGGACCACGAGGGCAGGCGGGTCCTAAGCCAGACGTACTGCGGCTCGGCGGCTTACGCCGCGCCGGAGGTCGTCGCCGGCACTCCGTACAATCCGAAATTGGCGGACGTGTGGTCGCTCGGCATCATCCTCTTTATCATGCTGAACGCGACGATGCCGTTCGACGACGAAAATCTGCGGAAGCTCCTCAAGGACCAGATGTCGCGCAACTGGGTATTCAGGTCCCGTGTCCGCGACACCGTGTCCGCGCTGGCGAAGAACATCGTCCGGCAGATCCTCGAGCCGGACATCACTCTTAGGCTTACGCTCGAGAGGGTGCTGGGCCACGAGTGGGTGAGAGCGAGGAAGGATAGAACGGGCTCCCTCGTCGGAAGACTCGTCCACTCAGCACCGCCTAGTCATACTCCGGTTACGACAAACAGCATTAATTATAGAATTACATTAAAGGTTCCTGGTCTCTTAGTCATAGTGGATCATGATAATAGAAGCGAGGAATGTTTTTTATGCATTATAAAAAGCATTTTTTTTGTTAGCTATTAATTGAAATAGCATTGTAAGATTATTATAATAAGAGTTACAATGTGTGTAAAAAATTGATTTTAATGTGTCTTGAAGTGTAAAAACAAAATTTACATTATTCTGTTATAATTCACCTGCAGTGAGAAACCAGGAGTCTTGATTGACATGATACAAAAGTTTTTAAACACGTAACATAGGGTTTTATAAAGATTGCTACATAAAAATTAATTTACTTTTGAGCGCGCAATTGTTCACATAATAAGTCCGAGAAATAATTGCAACGTTCCGCACAAAAATTATTTCGAAGAAGCGTAACGATTTGTCGCCTGTGCAATTAGATGTGCGGAGGCGGTAATCTGGGCGGGTCGGGAATCGGAAACGTACCTGTCGTAACGAGGGCACTACCTGCATTGAAAAATTCGGACAATAAGAATCAACCGTCCTCGAAGACGGTAAATACCTCGGGGAAAGATCAGCAATTGCCTATCACCGTGGGATAAGAAGACACGCGAAGAGAATTAATCACACATCGACAAGCTATACAATTGAAAATACAAGAGATTGCAGACTAAAAATGTCAAACAATTATTTTCGAAAACATTTACACTTGTCTTTACGAATATTTTTTCTTAATTTCCTATTGGATTGCACGACCAATGCAAACTTACATGGATGTTGATAACGTATTATTGTTGCTTAATAAAGTCCATAATATTGCAATTTGATGTAAATTACCTGTCAAAAGTAACACGAGGGAAATTTAATCAATTAACGTTAAATGTTATTTAATAAAATCAATTTTCACTTTTTTTCTATAAATTGTCGAATTATAGTATGTTATTGATTTCACGGCACAATGGAGAGAATAGGAATTAAAAAATCTGCCGAATACATTAATAAGTTTATTGTACAGTTACTGCCTATTAATATACAAAACTATAATCTTTTTTTTTGGTTACATACACATATAACGGGGTATCTTCTGTGAATGTAATATATAACGATATAAGTGATATATTTCTTCTTCTACATCTAATTTACATGAAAATAACAAATAATTTACACGATTCGATCTTTTGCGTTGTGAAGTCGAGCTCGGTTAGTATAGCACCTTGTGACACTGAAGAGGATACTGACACGCAATATGAGAGGGAGGATTATAAGAATTAAGTTTTTCATGCGACGTAAAAGAAATCGCCGACTGAAAATAATTTTTAGATTAACTCTTTTGGAACAGTTGTAGAATATAAAACACTCGAAACCGCACAGACGGTTTCACGCTATCCTTCCTTAAAGAATTAAAGAAATTTTCTTTTTTTGTGTAAAGCGTTATCTAACGTTCCGCGATATGTTCCACAGATTTTTGCTTGTACGGGCTTTACATATTTGTTCCTAAATTCGGCATTATTTATTCAATTATTTTTCGAAATAGCAAAAGTTTCGTATAAAAGTATAATCTTCATCTTTGTAAAATAGTTTCGCAGATGTTTATTTATAAAACCGTTGTAAATATAGAAAACTTTTTTTCGTGCAAAACAAACCATAATTGTGACGATTGTCAATATTATTTGTACCTTAATAATAAGGTAAACATATCGGTAAACATTTTTCTGAATTAGCCTCCTGTCGAATAAAAATAACTGTAGTTACTAAAACTCTTCCGTAGTGGAGGCAAATTAGACCAAAAAAGTGCGTTATCTCGGAACCGGTTAAAACTACTCGGATTTGAACGTTTTTTTTTTTAAATGTAGGTAATTAAAAACACTACAGTGTTTATGGGTTAAAAATTGACGCTTTAAATAGGAAATTCAAGAAATTTCCGAAAAATTGAAATTCTAAGACAAAACATTTTTTTAACGTACTAGCTTGCAATTTTTGCTTTTGTAATGTTATTTTTTATTCTGTAAAATATTACATTTCGAATTTTATAAATTGTAATCAATAAAAACATGATTAACTATCTGAAAAACCTCTTTTTTATAATTATTTTAAGTTTATAAGCAAAAAATGCAAGCTAGTTAAAAAATGTTTTGTCTTAGAATTTCAATTTTTCGGAATTTTCTTGAATTTCTTATTTAAAGCGTCAATTTTTAACCCATAAACATTGTAGTGTGTTTTTAATTACCTACATAAAAAAAAAAACGTTCAAATCCGAATAGTTTTAACCGGTTCCGAGATAAAAATCTAATTTGCCTCCACTACCGCTTACGCGTAGAAGGGACACAATATTTTATTTACAGTATACAATGTTAAAACATGATAAATACGACCAGATTTAAATATTTTTACAAGTGTTAACCAGCATGCAAAAACGGTCGGTCCTTGAACAGGCACGTAACGAGCGCGAATAGGTAATGCGTGGAACGCATCTCATCATCGCTTTTCAGAATATGTTAGTTTCGGTTTTATACACTCGTTGCAGTACTGGATTAAACCCATCCACCGGTCAACTTGTGGAACATCTCCTCGTTCAACGTTTGATTCGCCTCTTTCGAGCGCATTGATAGGAAGATGTAGCCTCCTATGAATTCATGGACAACCTTGCAGTCCGCTGATTGACATTCAAAAATGATATTTTCTTCCTCGAATTGTACCATCATGTGCTTTACTTCCCAGTTAACGTTCCACGCCTGTAAAAGAGACAAGATCATGCATTTTTATCTTGAGATATATATTTTTCACTAAAAGCGTCTTTTGGAATTATGGAACTCCAGTCAATTCTAAACGATTTTTCTGTATCCAAAATTTATCGTTACTTTTCGATTTTCAAAACATTATAACTTTACCAAAATCTGTATGAATTAAAAGGATATTAAAAGAATATCTTAAAAGAATATATCTATTTTCTTGCTCTTAGAATTTAATTTTCGGAAGATCCATTATTTTTAATCCATAATCATGAAATACGGATATTTTTGTAAAGAAAAAATTAGTTCAAAATTGCCCCAAGTATCTGGAAGGAAGCGCGTTTAGGGATATCCGCGAATAAAAGTTTACGAGAGGATACAAACAACACATAAAATATGCAAATGAATACGTACCTTCATGGTGTTATATCTCCAAGTCTTTAGATGATCGCCACTGTGAAGATCCATCCGCATTAGCCTGTTATTGGCGATACCTAGCAGCTCGTCCTTGCTCTTACCGGTAAATCGCACGACAAAAAGCGAGATACCGTATTCCGGCAGGGACTGCCATGCCTTGATATAATTCAACTTCGCCTCGATGAGGTGCAGGTCTTTAACGTTTGCGTGTGCTTCCAAGATTCTCTGCACCAACTATGTGGAAAACAAAAAGTGTCAATGCGACTAGTTGGTTCGATCATTCATCACTTAATCGAATGCGAATGATTTGTTACCTTTCCTTTGAACTTCTTTGCAAATCTAGGCGCGACATAGTCTTCCGGTACGATGTCCAAAGCGCTCGGATTGATGGCCGGCGCGGGCGCGGGCCTCTGCAGTTGCAGAAAAGCTGTGATACTGTTGACCTCGCTCTCGTAGGACGCATCGGCGAGGGTGCGGCCCTTGGCCGCTAATCTGCACGCAGCCATCCACTTTGCGTATTGTTGTTCCTAAAATAATAAAGAATCGTGATGGGATCGAATTCAAGCGAGTATCTGGGAATCGAATCAGTTCTAACATTTAGTTTTTATTTTGTAAAACTTGAGAGAAACTCCACTCGTGAGAACTCCGTTTTCGATGCAACATGTATGTTATTATATGTTGGCGTGTGGCCAAACACCAACGTGTGACAAGCGTTAATATATATTTGAGAACGGTTAATTCAATAATGCTGCTGCTTGGCGACGACACGCCACATTAATGCGAGTTTAATCCGCTTACGTTGTCGCATCTTATCCACATCTCGGTCATGCCTTCGGCGCTGGGCACCTCCAGTCTGATCCCGTAGCGACCTTGCGACAGATGTACGTCCGGCGTGACCTCGCAGCCGCGCAAATTGATCACGTAGACCGGCGATTCCGAGCCACCCGCCTCCTCCCTGCTTTTGTAGAGCCTGAGCTGGAGATCGCGGCACGTAAACCAATAGCGTTTGAAGGCTTTCAATGTGAAACGCTTCGGCTTGAAGAAACGCAGTTCGTCGCAGAGCTCGGGCACCTGCGTAATGTCGCTGGGTCCGTTGCTGATGTTGCTGCCCTCCAGGGTCACCTGCAGATCCGTCAAGGCCGCGTCGATATCGTCCTCGACGGGCGAAGTCGCTCCGTTGCTGTCGTAGGTGGGCTGCGGCACGCTCGCCTGAAGATTCACTTGTACCTGCAATGGAGAAGCGTAGGTAAAATTTCTTGTTTTTTTTTTCTATTTATTTTCCTTTCCGTTCAACGTTGCGAGGACGGGGAAAGTGGGTGTGCAAGAGGTACAAAACACATTTTGTGGGTCGAGGCGAGATGATCACATATCTTTTCTTGGTTGTGTTGTCGCGTGACGGCATCGCGGCTATGGTGGAACACCGGCTGGCGGCCGGAGCAATCGGTTCAAGGACGTGACTATTTGCATGTATTATGCGTCGCGTGGGGTTCCTCCCTCGCGACGAAGCGGCATAAATATATCGAGAACAAACCGGCACGGTGAGTCGTATATATGGTCGCAAAGAATGGAAGGATCAAATATCGAAAACCGAGATACGAACGCATTCCAATGTCTCTATCCGCCTGCGTGATACATTTGCATCTGTCGTAATATTTATAAGCGAATCTCCATATCGGTTCTTGTCACGTCGGTCTATTTATACCATTTAACATTTTACATTAGACCGCGTTTATTTTCTACAAGCGTTTTAAAAAATTTCGACACGCAACGCATTAATGATCATTTCTGCCGACACAATGATCGTTCAGATACCTGAAGCGCCGCGAACATCAGCATCTCCTCCTCAGTGCAGTCGATCTCCTCCGCGAGCAACTGCCACTTGGCTTGTTCGTAAATCATGTTGATGCGCACCGCGTCGGTCTTCGGATTCAGGTCGTAGAAGGAGTAGAATTTGAACTTCAGCCTGAGCGTGTCGAATTCGCGGATACCCTGCTCCATGATCGACAGGGAGGAATCCAGCCAGGCGACGTTCATTCTCGCCCTCTCGATCAGGCTCTTCGGCCTGACCAGCTTCACCCGCACCTCCGGCGAGATCGACGTTGGGCTCTGCGCCAAGGACTCCGTCAGTCCGCCGTTCAACGCCTCGAGGCTCATAGTGCTGTTATTCGCGTTGAAGGAGCCGGTGCTGCCGAAGCCGGAGGAATTGTTGTTCCTCTTCCACGTGCCGGTATACTGGAAATTGCAAGCGCAATTTTGATGCATCGTCATAAAATAACTACGACATGATTACGTTATCTACGTTATTCAGATCTGTCCAACATATCATGACCGTACATTCCATAAAATTCATTCTATTTTGATCCTTTTTCAAAGAAATTACTATACATATTTAATGAAACAAATATGTAAAAATATAGATAACAGTAATATTTTATTTCATAATTCTAAATATTTAGCAGTATGATCACAGTAGGAACGAAAGGAAAGAAAGATATCGTTTGTGTACGGTAGGCCTACCGAGACGGGAGAGCTGATCGGTGTGCTGTGATTTCTGTTGTTAGGCGTAACCGGCGCGCACATGAATGGGCTCGATTGATCTAAACTTCCTGTGGATCCCCTGGGACTCTGGCTGGCTGGGATGAAGGTATTCGTGTCGGCCGGTACGTTCCAATGCCCGTTCTTCTGATTCTCAATTTTCTTCTTGGCCGGCAGATCCTTCAGATTGTATTTCAGGTGATTCGGCTCGAGCGGCTTGCAGAACGAAAGCTCCTCCGGGTGTCTAAT